CTAATCATCCAATTTCCACAACCTGTTACTTAATTAGATATAATTTGGAACACACCCATATTATTCCTGTAGAGACTAGGTGTGGGTAGACCAAATTTTTAAAATCACACATGTCACACAATTATTAATARATTTAATTAATCAATTACTATTCATAATAATAAAATAATTCAACAACATATAGATTTTTTTATATAATTTCAATTATATTACTCATAYCTTTGAAGACAAATAATAATTATGACTTGTTATTTAGTTCTTTGGCCAAAGAGCATAATATCAAAACTAGTCTCTACGAATACTTATCCATTTGGTACTTAAATATTGTGTATTTTCATTTTTTTTCAACATTGTTTTAATGATTAATTTTTTTTCTAGCAAAAATGTTAGCATCTTGTTCAATATGTGGCGATTGTTTCACAGGAATTCATCCTGAATCGGTTCATTCAACACCTTGTGGTCATGTTTTCCACTATGAATGTCTCATGACTTGGATTAAAAGGTATCACTAAAGTTTAATTTCGATGAAAGTGCATTCTAGTTATACAAAGTATAAAAAGGTCATCATTATAAAATATCCTGTTAATTCAAGTTAACAAAAAATATATTATGCTTATTGCTTAATATATTGGCAAACTATCTTTCTCTTTGAGTCAGATTTCTGTGGGCGCCAATGACCATAGGATATTGATTTATAGTTAATAACTAATAACWAAAGTATATTATAATAGTATATAAAATTACGATTCCTAGTTGTATGTTTAATATTTCTCCTTTAAATTATATTTATAATCATACATTTTTATAATTATTGCTTTACTTCTATAATTTTTAGAGCGCAGACTTGTCCACACTGTCGGTCAAAAGTAACTGAAAAGCAAATTATCAAATTATATTTTCACAACAATTCAAATTTAAKTATAAAAGAAGATATATCTTCACTGACTCACCAGGTGCAATCACTTACATATGAAAATACTCTAAAGAATGAAGAAATAAAAAATTTGTTAATTATAACCAAAAAAGAAAAAGAACAACTGAATACACTAAAGTAAAATAAAAAAATATTCAATTTATACTTTTTTTAAATAATATATTCATTATATTAACACTTCACAGGAAACATGTGAAAGATGTGGAAGACAAAATTCGAGGCCATCAGACAGTTGTATCTAGTTTACAAGAAAATATCCGTTTTCTTAAATCTGAATGTAAAAAATCTACTTGCTACAAACTTGAAGCTGAAGAATTAAAAAAAGATTTAGAAAAATACCAATCGTAAGGAAACTTTTTCTTTGATAAAAAAAAAAAAAATAATAATTTGTGTAATATTCTAATTAAATTTCAGAATAAACAGTATATTATATGGAACTGCTGCAGATTCTCAAGAAGCTGTAAGTTTGTTAAAAAAAAAGACTGATGTTCAAACTTTATGCTTACTTATAACTTCTTTTAAAAAGTATGATATATTATTTAAACAATTGTGTATTATACAATAACTCTGCCGTTGTTTTTTTTAGAGAAATTCAAACTTTAAAAGAAAGTAATAGAGATTTGGAAACTAAGTTTTCACAACGAGTTTCTAAATACATGGAACTTAAAAGACATTTGTGCAATGTAAATTCAAAAGAATCCATGAATACCCGAGTAATGGAGTATGTAATTTGTTTAA